TATATATATATATAAAATCACAAGTCCCAAGGTTGTTTGAGACACCCTACTTTAGATCAGTCTTAACTATAATCCTAACCACAGTGCTCACTCTCTTCTACATTAGCTGCTCCAGTCTCTTGGACTACTTATTTGCTAAGCGCAGCCCTTTAGCCTCAAAAATCTCTACTGTTGCTTCTTCCTAGAATACTCTTCTGTGGTTCACTCCCTCACTTACTCTTGACCTTTCTTTCAATGTCACTTTGAGAAACCTTTTCTTACAATCTGTATAAAACAGTAAAACTCTTTCCATCCTCCTTTTTTGATTTATTTTTCTTCATAGCATCTCCTGGCAGAAGATAGTTTCTTACATGTTTATTATCTGTTTCTTCCCACCCACTAAAATACATACCCCACAGGACTTGCATTTGTTCTAGTACAGAAAATGATGCCTGGTGTTAGGTGCTTGATAAATACATTTAAAAAAAAATGAAGCACTAAGTGAATAAAAGAAAGATAAAGTCTAGCATGTCTTCCATGTGGTCTCATAACAATACATATGAGCACTTGCCATAATCTCTTTACTGGCAAAAATCATTAAAAGAGAGTGTCATTTCTCAGCATCTTTAATACTCACTATAAAAGGTACTCATCAATGCTTAATGAAAAATTAAAAAAATGGTGTGTATGAATGAATGGTACACCTGAATGATATCCTTTGACAAGTTAACTTACCTGTGCTTTTAATGCCTTGTTTTAAAGACCATATTTACCGTGTATTTTATGACTAGTATTTAGCTATGATATTAGGAAACTGTTAAATTTCCTCACCTGGATCTGCAGATACATACATTTCAGCTACTAAATGCCAAACTCTAAACGTTAACTCTCCTAAAATATTCACAATGGAAGCAGACAAAAATAATGTGTTTAAGTGTAATTCCTCAGTCTAGCAGAGCACGGCTGTTTCTCAGTATATGTGACTTACTATCATACTAATAATAACATCCAATATACACATTCAGCTTCTACTGGGCACCAGACACTGCCCGCCCCCCATTCCTAGATCCATTTTGAGATGGGAACCTGACACAAGGAACACAAGGAGTTTCCTCAGAGTCACAATTAGTAAATGGCGTAGTAAAACCCAGTAGTAACCTGGCTTCCAGAACGTCCAGTCTTAAACTGCGCGCGACACTCTTTTAAAGCAGAGCGACCAAGGGAGCGTAGCCACTTTGAGAGAAGTCAGCTGGAAGGCGGGCAGGTGTGGGATACGTGATTATTTTTTCTTTTTACTTTTCGTAGTATAATGTAAAACCAAAATTTACTTTAAGTCGTGTAATTTTAGAATATTAAAGTACCGGCTCACCCAACTCAGAAGTGGTCGCAGAGACCATTCAAGCGCTCCCGGGGGCCGGGCCCGTGGGCGGGGAGGGGCGTCCTCCATTGGCCTGCCGCGTAGCATCACGGGAGCTCTCCCTGCGCCGGGCAGCCTTCTGCTTTCCACCCAACTGCACCTGCGCACCCTCTAGGACTCCGTTTGGGAGGAGGGACTCCGGGTGAGTTCAGAGATTCTCTTTGTATCTCGCTTTCTGTGGAAGGTCAACGTTCTCCATCTAAACTTGGTTCCTTTCTTAAATGAGGTGTGCTGAACTTTGCTCCAAGGCAGCCCGGAACCACAAGTCGGGAGCACAGTCTTTTCTCCTTGACCCCGGCGATCACTTCCGTTTACGGGTCTGGAATACCTGAGACCTTTCTACTGCGAACGACGGGAAAGGAACTTCCGGTGTTTGTTGCCTAGGCGCCGGCCCGGTGGGCCGTAGCGACGTTTTTGGCGCGGTCCTCTCCCCTCTACCCCAGGGGTCAAGATGTCTGGGCTCAGTCAGTCAGAGATGGAAGGCTGTCGTGACCTGCTCAGCCTGCTGGACAACGACGAGATCATGGCCCTGTGCGACACTGTCACCAACCGCCTGGTGCAGCCTGAGGACCGCCAAGGTACCAGCCGCCGCCGCCCCTCCTGAGACCCTACCTCGAACCCCAGGTTACCGGTAGCGTGGGAGTGGAGGGAGTTCGAGGCCGAGGCCCCTGTTGGTCCCCAGTCACGCTGGGGCAGAATTCCCCGTCATCATTTTTGGTTCTGGTCGCCCAGAAACCGGCACGCAGACCAGCTGGCGGTGCTGCTGACAATGGCGCAGCTTCCCTCCGGGTTTTATCCTCGTATTGTTTTGGGCAAATGCTTGTTCACTGAAGGATACGTAGGCACCTCTAATTTCCTGGGATCCAGAGTGTTTACCTTAATTATCAGCTTCGATTAGCTGAGGAGTCAGCTGCTGCTCAACCTAGTCAAGCTAGAGAGGAGAATAACACTTTGTATTAGGCGCTTAGATAAAACACCTGACAAAAAGACAGAGGGTTTGAATCCATGACTCTTTTTGAAGGCAAAAATGTCCCGAGACGATTTTGTGTATAAGAATACTTTCAGAATCAGGTTACACATTAAGTCTGTTATCAAGGATTACTATTTCGGATGTACCTTTTGACCATTTAAGAAAGTCAATCATTTGTATCTTTGAACAGTGAACATTAAGAAGAAACACATCCTTAAAAATTTACACTGAAAAATTTTTAATATTGGCCTGCGGCATTTATAAAATTTACATGTTAATCACTTCACAGTTAATGGTGAGTGTGTTTTTAAAATTGTAGTAGGTAAAAGTGCTGGAAATAAATGGCAGTGAATCTAAGAGCAAATAAGGAAAAAAAAATTTAAAAATTCCCAGTACAAAGTGTTTAAATGATTGAAGAGAGGGTTCAGAAAAGAAAAGCAATAAGTATATAAAAAGATATTCAACCTTTTTACAAAACCCAAACTACAAGATGTCTTTTCTATGTACCAGATTGAAAAAGCATTTAAAAAAAATCTTTACCTGTTGGTGGTCAGATGAAGAAACTCTCTGATAACTAATGGAGGAATGTAAATTACAACTACCCCATTGAAAAACAAATTTCACATTATCTCCTAAAATGAGGTTAGACACTCTAGACAAGAGGTAGTGAACCTATGGAATACGTGTTACTATGTTTTTTAAGACAGAAAAATGTTAATGTAATGAGTTGTCTTTTTCTACACTAAGACCTCAGCATTCAGGTTTAATTGCAGTATTGGCATTTTGTGATAAAATAAGTGGGTTTAGGGTTGGCAGTTGGGCAATTGTCTCAAACAGGTTTGCCAACCCTGCTTTAGACTTTGGTTTATCAAACTTAAATGTACCTTTGAATCCCTCAGGGGTTTTATTAAAATACTGATTCTGATCCAGTACTTTGAGTAGACCTGAAATTGTGCATCTCTAACGAACACAGTGATACTTGTACTACTCACCCCTCTGTGCACTGGCGGATATGTATGAGAATATTCAAAGTGTAGTGTTGGTAAAAGTACAGGCACAACAGAAGTCTGCAAACAAAAATAGAAACCTTGCATTTTCATAACAGTGAGGAAGAATTAACTAGAGCTACTTATCTATATAGATTAATCTCCAAAACAACACTTAACTGTAAAGCTGATTACAGAAAACTACTCGTTCTAATGGATTGGATTTATAAAACATTTTTAAATGCCATATTAAATAGATGTTTAGGAACACTTATGCAATGCATTTATAAAGAGCAGGAAATGTTAAATAATGTGGAGGATAATAGCTACTCTGTAAGATGAATGAGAAGAGATTGTAACAATACTAGAGAGAGGTGAAATGGGGTCTTAAAGATACTAGTACAGTAATTTCCTACATCTTAAGAGCTCTAGGAGGTATTATATAGGAGTATGTTTTATTGCCATTCCGTATACCCCACACAGATTAAAAAAAATCCTTAGTTTGAGATAGATAGATTTTTTTGTTCTGTTTTGTTTTTGAGACATGGTCTCACTGTGTAGTTCAGGCTGGCCTTGAACTTACTACATAGCCCAGGCTGGCCTCAAATTTGTAGTGATCCTTCTACCTCAGCCTGCCGACTGCTGGCATTACAGACATGCATCACTTTGCCTGGCTTCATGAATGAATATTTTTTATTTTAAAAAAATTTTCTGATTATTCCACTTCCTAAGGGTATGACTCTTGTTATCTTGATTATATTCAACTCTTGAGTATTTTAGATTGAGAAAATTGATCCAAAGTTCCTTCATGTCAAAATACTGTAACTTTACTGGTTTTTTTAAAGAGGTTTATATGAAATCAGATATTCTGGTTTTATTACCAAAATATATTTTTTCTGGTTTGAATTTGTTCTTAAAGCATACTTCTTTTAAAAATTGGGCCAGGGGCCAGAGATTTAGCTCAGTGGTTCTGACACTTGCCTTACAAGCACAGGGACCTGAATTCGATCCTTGGTACCCCCAAAAAATGGGGCCAGAATTTTACTGTTGCATATAGAAAGTGAAAGGATGGGGGACTTTTTTCAATGAGGATGTTTAAGCCATGAAATTAAAAATCCTACAACCCATTTCTTCTTTTTAAAAAATAATAACCATCCCATATGCAAAAGGAAGTAGCATGGTAAGAGTTAACTTTGTGGTAGAATTCTTCTTACATTGGACAAATTTGTAGGTACTTCGTGATTTTTTATTAACCATTGTAATTTTCTTCTAGATGCTATTCGAGCAATATTAGTGTACAGTCAAAATGTAGAAGAACTCCTGAAGCGCAGAAAGGTCCACCGAGAAGTCATATTTAAGTACTTGGCAACACAAGGGATTGTTATATCTCCAGTTACTGAAAAACACAATCTTATTCAACATGCAAAAGATTACTGGGAAAAGCTATCAAAGATGAAACTGAAAAAAATGCCAGAGCCAGTTGCAAAGAAGGAGGACATCCAACTCTTTCAACAGGTAAACAGATCTTGTAGTTACATTCTAAATCCTTGTTCTGTCTTAAGCTCCATAGATAATCCTAGATCTGGGGGGCATAGTTGATATTTGTATCTTGTAATTTAACTTTATTTCATAACCTTTGCATCCTAAAAGAGGAAAGACTAATAAAGCAACTTAGGAGAAAAAAAAAAACAAAACATTTTTGACATTTAATGATGTATTATAGTTTATTGATTTATGAGGGAAAATTTTTTTCTCCTTTATCAAATGAGAAATATTGGATTTTTTAAAGGTAAATGTTAAGATTAATTTTATGTTTGGACTCTAGTTCTCTAATTTTTTTTCTCCACTTTAAAAGAGTATGCAGGCATGAGAATGGGATTTGAGGATGGAGAGAGATGGAAAATAGGAGAGGGAAAGGAGAAGTAAAATGGAACAAGTTGGGCCGGGGATTTAGCTCAATGGCTCTGCCGCCTGCTTTGCAAGTACAAGGACCTGCGTTCGATCCCCAGTACCAAAAAAAGAACAAAAAAAGAAACAAGTTGTGGTTAAATATATATTCAAATTTTCCATGATGAATGTAGTTATTATTTGTTGTAAACATACTAAGAAAAAAGAAAACTATTGTAAATCCTTTCACATTTTTAAGATTTCATTGCTATCAATACAAAAATTTCATGAGAGAAGCTTGAAATATTTAGCTAGAAAAAAATCCTATAGCAATTGTCTTCAACCAGTTTTGACAGTTACTATTTTTTTGTACATTTTAGATGTCAAATGAGAATTTAATGTTGACTGACTGAAGATAATTAATCATTTTGCCTTTGTAATAGGAAAGGATCTAAGAACTTTTTTAATGTACTGAAAAGAGAATGGCCTTTGAAATAATATAGATGTTATTTCATATTAAGGTTTGCAGTGTTGTAATTGTGTGTGATTAGGCAAATAATTTGACCTTTCTGAGCTTTGTTTTCTTCATCTGTAAAATGATCGTAATGGATCTAGGGGTATAGCTCAATAATGGTACAAAGCCCCCAACACCCCCTCACCCTATCATAACAGTAATATCTGTGTCATAGGATTTATTGTGAAGATAGGAGGAAATAACACTTAAGTGAGGTGCGTCTTGCCCTGAATTTTCAGTAGCAGAGATGTTCATTAAACATAGGAACTCAGCCATTTCAGTGAGGTACTGTACTCTGGAATATGTGGATAAATGAAATATAATTTATCATATACTTTTTTGCAATAACATTCTTTGTAAAAGGAGAAATAATCATATAAAATTAATCCAAATTCTACAAAATGAACTATTTTAACTCCTTTTTAAAATATGTAGTTAACAGTGGCAGAAAGGTTGATTTATCAAAACCTTATTGAAATATAATTTACATGCAGCAAAGCACATCCATATAAAACACATAGTTTGAAGAGACAGGCAGATCCTGCCAAAATCAAGATGAAATGCTTGTTATAGAGTTCATTATCATGGTTAATGCTGATATTTTAACAGGCCTTGTTAATTTGAAATAAATGTTTTATCTAAGACTTGATATGCATGGATATTAAACGAAAGGTTTCTTCTTACTCTTCTACTTTTTATTTATTTTTTGAGAGACAGGATCTCATTGTTGCCCAAGCTAGGCTTGAACTCCTGGGCTCAAGCAGTCCTGCCTCAGCCTCCCTAATTGCTGTAACTACAGGTGTGCTACTGCCTTATAAACTTTACTTAGCTAAAACTTTACTTAGCTTAAGCTGTTTGAGCTGGAAAATTCTCAAATGGTTTTTCTCCTTTTTGAAAACAACTTGTCTATATGTGCTGAATAGTTCCCTTAGCTTAATTTTTAATTTTATCAGCAGGCAAGAGAAGATAAAAAAGCTGAAAAAGTTGATTTTCGTCGCCTAGGAGAAGAATTTTGTCATTGGTTCTTTGAACTTCTCAATTCTCAGAATCCTTTAATGGGACCACCTCAAGATGAATGGGGGCCACAACACTTCTGGCATGATGTCAAGCTTAGGTTTTATTACAGTACATCAGAACAAAATGTGATAGACTACCACGGAGCAGAAATTGTGAGCCTTCGCTTGTTGTCACTAGTAAAAGAAGAGTTTCTTTTTCTTAGCCCCAACTTAGATTCTCATGGACTGAAATGTACTTCTTCTCCCCATGGATTAGTTATGATTGGAGTTGCAGGGACTGTCCATCGAGGGGACACATGTTTGGGCATTTTTGAACAAATCTTTGGACTTATCCGCTGTCCTTTTGTGGAAAATACTTGGAAAATTAAATTTATCAACCTGAGAATCATTGGAGAAAATTCTCTTGCTCCTGGAACAGTACTAAAACCTGCTGTTACATTTGGACAGAGTGATCTAGAGGATTTTTATAATGTAATCACTTTGTGTGATAACAATGAAGTAAGACTTAATGTAAAGCAGGCATTTGACAGTGGGACTGGAGACCAGGCTTTATGTGGTGGAAATGAGTCATTGTTAAACAAAAGAGAGCCCAGTTTACCAAACCCTCTGAAGCACTGACACTGTGTATCATATTAAAAAATCTTTATACAGAAACTCTTCCAAATACATCAGTAATTTCATATGTGAGGATTGACATTTTAATTGAAATATTTCTCTACACTTACATGTATGAATGTTTGCCTATATCTGAGTTGTAGTAAAAGTTTGAGAACTTACTACAGTTCATTGAATAAATCCCACTGTAGATGTAGTTAACTGTGTGCCTTAGAAACCAAATAGTATCTTCATTATACTATTCTACCACTATCCGTACTTCCCATGTGGGAAAGGATTAATAGTGTTCAGGCCTTCCTTAACTTACTCATTTTTCTCTAAATCCAGATATTGGATATTTTAAAAATGTATTTTTTTTAAACTTAAATATTGTGAAGATATTTAATGTAAACTCAGGGTTCTCATTTTAGAAAACCCAAGTGATATTCATGCAAAATCTAGTAATTTATCAGGGGAAGAAAAATTTACTGCCTCTTTAAATATTTATAGAACATTTCTCAAAGTTACTTCTCTTATTCAAGCTAAATAACTCTGGTAACATACAACATGTTTTGTATTATTTTGGGCAGCAATAACTGTTATTCTTAAAATAGACCTTATTCTTACCTAGGCTTAAGCTAACAGCTTTATTGAGCATTTATATAACAACGAAGGAAATCTGCTATTGAAATTTTAAATGGATACCCAGGTTGAAATTTTAAGTGAGTTATTGTTATTCTTGATCATGTCAGACATGACCCCCCAAAAAAAACCCCATGAATTTATAACATGGTTTACATATACATGTCTCCATATACCCCATATCGTAATCTTATTAAGAATTAGCTCTTAATTTGTGTTATTAGGTCTGAGTCACAAGTTGGGTTGCTAGTTTAATAACACACATGCTTTAAAATTTAAATTCCTGATTACCCAACAAATTTGTTGATCCTTGGGTTTAGTTAAGGAATTTTAATTTGTAAAGGTACCACTTGGGAATACAATTCAACTGGAAAGTACAATGCTTGTATACGTTAAATTTTAACATATGTCATGATCCTCTAGAGAGACTGATAAAAATATTGGAAGCAGGAGAAAAACACTCATCTGTTTTGTATATTTAATGACATTCCTCTTAGGAGTACAAATTGGTGTGTCTGAAAAATAACCTTAATAAAGGAAGGCAATCCCTTTTGTATAAGAATAATTATTATTTAGATTTAATTTACAATTATCCTGTTCTTAAAAGTTTTAGGCTTTTGATAAGCAAATTTACTGCTTCTGATTACACTATTAGTATAATATAATTAGATGTAAAGAAAATAGTTTGCAAAATAGTCCATTATAATTTTATAAGACAGGCATTCAGATCAAAAGTCAGTCCTTATCCTACAGTTCTTGGTTTGAAATCTGACTATTATTTTTTAGATTTGAAGTAGCACTGGAAAATATCCCGAGTAAAGGATAAAATTAAAAACCATCTCTTTGTGCTATTTATGTCACATATTGCAGAAATCTACAAATTGTCAGACTGGGTAGGGATTTCCTCTGGTTATCTTCCATGTTGAATTTTTATAAAGCCCAAATAAGGCTTCAGTTTCTGCACATAAGTTTTAATAAAACTAGAGTGTCACCTGGACTTTTATTTGCAATAGACTAATTTGTCATAGCTTACAAATGAAATGAATAATTAAATGAAGTTTTAAAAACTTACTAATTTCAAAAGGTAATTGCAAAACATATTTTAACCAAATTTTTCTTACAACATAGGTTATAAAAATGAATGGAAACTATATCAAAATTTTTCTTAGGATCTTTTTATTTCAGATTTGGATACTCTTTCCTTCACTTATTTTTGGTGCTGGATATTGAACCAAAGACCTTCTACATATGTACTCTACCACTGAGCTGCACCCCTGGATTTAATTTGGGTTGTGGAGGATAGTCATCAAGCTTTTGAAAGATAATATTGAGTATTTTCTTATTAGAAGAAATACAGCATGATAATTTTTTAATATTTCAATGAGTTCATGGTCTTCTCCAAAGCACATCAGTGTCCTATATACATCATTATGCCATATGTTCAGAAAAGCTGCCACAATATTGTATATCTCTGGACTACTCTTAACATAGTAAGAAAAAAAAAAAAGTTATTATTGTGTAATTCCCTAGGGTAAAGTACTAAATTTGAAATGAAAAGTTATTTTGTAGGAAATCTGTTAGTTTACAATAGTCACACTTGTGAATTTTGTTTTTCAAAAGATGTTAGATATGAAGACAACCATCCAGAATACTCAGAATTTTGACAAGATTAGTTACAAATAATACACTTTGAAGAAATTGATAAAAATGTAAAGAAAAATATTCTCAAGAACTTTATAAAAATATAAAGTTTATAGTGGTTTTATAGTGATTATTCTGATGATTTAAAAAATCTAAACATGTCTTTGACCTTATATATATGATCTCACCTTCATCCACTCCTCAGGTCTCCCTACTTCTCATAACCATATTTATATCCTTTGTACCTACCCAGTTCAGATGTAGTTGTAGATCAGAAACAAGATTTTCTGAGTGCAGATTCTCTTCAAATTTATTTGCCATATGTTTATTTTGTATTTATTGTTTGTAAGTCACCAGATCAAGTTCAAGACACAATAACACAAAAATAGGTTGTTTGAGTTTAGGTTATCTTAGGAAAAGAACTTTTTTAAATCCCTTTGTAGAAGGATTCAAATAGGTCCTTTTATATGACCAGAAAAAACAAAACTTAATTGAACTGTTAAATAGTAGTATGGCTCTCGCTTCCTATGCCATATAGATTTTATCAATATAAAATACAGGTCATTTTGATGAATTATTTAGTTTTGGAAGGAACAGTTATCAACCTTTCAAAATACACTAAATGCATTTAGCTTTATTTTTTCTAATATAACTTTTAGCAAGAGTCTCAGTAAAATGTTGACTAAGAGAGGCTCGCCCCATACCATTTGTAAGTGCACAGAAGCCAGGGAGCAGTGGTGTGGATAAGAGCATCACCGATGCAGGCAAATCCAACCAGGGCCCTACCCTGACCCAAGCAGCTTGGGCTCACAAAACCAAGCCAAAGGGCTTCCCGAAGAGAGCTGCACAGGCACACAAGCATCAGCCAGAGGCCCGCTGTGACCCCATCTGCTTGGGCACAGAGGCCCAAGCCAAGGTCCCACCTGGAAAAGAGCTGCACGAGTGAACAAACAATAGCCAGAGGCTCTCTCCATACCATTAGTAAGTCTGGAGACACCAAAAGCCTGCTCAGACAGCAGCAACTGGGGTGCACAGCCCTCAGCCAAAGGCCTTCCCAGACAACAGCTACATAAGGGGCCAGGCTCTAGCCAGAGTCACGTCCAGATACCATCCCAAGTGTGCATAGGCCCCAGCCAGAAACCCTACCCAGGCAATGGGTCAGCTCAGGGATCCAGAAGGCAACTGTTCTGAACCCAGGAATAGGTACATGGGTGAGCAGCAGAGAAAAGGCTTCCTGGTGGCTTGCTGAGAATTGAAGACCACTGGGTTTTGTTAAACTTTTTTGCCTTGTATATGTTCACAATGTATTTTCCATGTCTTAGTCAAGAAAAGTAGAAACAAGTTTGGTCTTATGGCCAAATTAAAGTCTACCAGTGCAGATGGTGCCCAGTTTATGATTGTTTGACTATAGTTTTTCAACTTTATGATTCTTTGAAAGAAATACACATTCAGCAGTACCTACTTCAAATTTTGAATTTGGATTTTTCCCACCAGGTTAGTAATACAGAGCCACCCATTCTGTTTTTCACTTTGTGTACAATTTTTAATAAATTGCATAAGGTGTTTGACACTATTACAAAATAGGCTCTGTGCTAAATTATATTGTCCAATTGTAGGCTAGTGTAAGTATTCTGAGCATGATGGCAGACTAGGTTTAGAAATGTTAGTAGTTTAGGTGTATTAAATGTATTTTTGATTTATGATATTCTTAATATATGATGTGTTTGTAACCCCATTGTAAATTGAAGAAAGATTAAAATAATCAAGTAGATAACTGCTTCAAAGAGACTGAGAATAGAAGTTGGAAAATATTTAAGAATGATCAATGGCTGAAGTTGTAGCTCAGTGGCAGTGTGTTTGCTTAGCAATACAGACATGGGTTCAGACCCTGGAACAAAAAGAGAAAAAAAAATGGGGACAATGGCAGATTTCATATAGGTTTATTCATGGACATAGATGGTTACTGTTCATAAACTCATTGGAAATTCTAGGAAGTTTAATGGGAACACTTGTCTGGCAAAAGGAAGGTTTTGCTGCATTTGATGCACTAATTAAAGCAGTTCAGATTAAAGCAGTTCAGATTATAGAAACAAGAAAGCAGAAAATCCAAGTAACTAAGGTCTTCAATGATGGAACTATCAGTAAACAATCATGAAGACACTGGATAGTATTAAACTCCTAGGAATTAAGAGAAATTATACAATAGGCTGTACTAATTTAAAGAGCAACTTTATGTAGTGGTAGTGTTTAGAATTGAGAAAAAAATTGATTTACAGAATGCATCAGTGTTAAACATTCTTTCAACTTGGAAAACATTTCTTGAGCACTTAATATGTACCAGAAGAAGATATTTGTACATAAAGTAGAGTATTTCTTCTAGTTTCCGATGCTATTTCACTTTAACCTGTACTATTTTTATTGTTTAATAAAGAGTCTATTTTATTACCAAGTACTTCTTTGTGATTTCTTGTTGATACACTTCTTACTACTTTAACTATTTTCATCTTTTGATATTTATGTAAAATTATAGGTTAAATCCTAACTCTGGACTAGATCAGTGCTGCTAAAAGAATAATGATCCTTTGTAGTCCATTAGGAAATTTAGGCTGGGGACTGGGCCCAGTAGTTCGGCCACCTACCTCACAAGCACAAAGGCCTGAGCTCATACCCCATATGAGAGAGAGAGAGAGAGAGAGAGAGAGAGAAATATGGAAGTTTAACAAGGATAAAAATATACAGAAACTTTTTTCTCACATAGCTTACACATATTTTATAAATCTTAGACATGTAAATAATACCTTTTCAAAGTTTAAATGTAGGCTGTTTTTCTCAGGCCTAAGGATCATTGGACCAGATTAGAAGATTCAGAAACAACTCCAGACATAATCAGCCACCTTATCTTTGACAAAGAAGCCAAAAACCTTCACTGGCAGAAAGCCTTTTTAATAAATGGTGCTAAAAAACTGGCTTTCCACTTGCCAAAGATTAAAACTAGACCTGTATCTTTCACCAGGTACTAACCTAAAATCTAAATGGATCAAAGATATAAATATTAAAAAAGAAACACAATCAGCTGGAAGAGAGTTTAGGTAGAACTTGTGAAGACACTGGTGTAGGAAAAGATTTTATTAACACGAACTCAGGTGCCCATGAACTAGCACAAACAATCAACAAGTGGGATCTCTTCTTATTAAAAAGCTTCTGTAAAGCAAGAGGAACCACCAACAGTGTGAAGAGACAATCCACAATGTGGAAAAAAAAATGTTTACCAGATGTTCCTTAGACTACAGTCTACTATTTAGAATATATAAAGAACTCAAAAATGCAGACCTCCCAAATTTGAAGTCCCAATCCAAAAATTGGCATCTGAAATGAGCAGACATTTCTCAAAGAAGTAGAATATCAAGTAAACATGAAAAAATGTTCAACATCACTGGTCATTCAAGAGATGCAAATAAAAACAACACTGAGATTCCACCTAAGCCCAGAAAGAATGGCTGCTATCATGAAATTAACCAATAACAAATGCTGATGGGGTTGTGGGGAGAAAGGGACCCTTCTCCACTGTTGGAGGGAGTGCAGACTGGAGCAACCACTGTGGAAGTCAGGGTGGAGATTCTTCAAAGAACTAAAACTGGATGTTTCATTTTACCCAATTGTTCCCCTTCTTAGTATTTTCCCAAAAGAATTAAAAGTATCATACTACAGCAATATAGGCACACTCATGTTTATAGCAGCATAATTCTAAACCAAAATTGCTAAATCTTGGAAGCAGCTGAAGTGCCCGTCAACCAAAGAATGGATAAAAGTTGTGTTCTTTTATACAATAGAGTACTACTCCGCATAAAGGATGAACCTGAGACATCTATAGCTAAATGGATGCACTTTGAGACCATATCCTTAAGTAAAATAAGTCACACATTTAAATATCACATTGTTTCCCTAATGTGGGAAACTGAAAGTGGAAATAAGGACTAAAATGTACAACAGATATTGAGAAATGGGAAGAAAAATGTTCAAATAAAGGGAACAAGGAAGAGGGGAGGAGGAAAGGAAAGAAGGGACAAGAAAAATAAGAAAATGGAAAAAATGAAAACAAAACAAACAAGGTGGGGGTGGATGGGGGAAAAAGAACCAAGATATATCATGTACTGGTATAAATTCCCTATGATGACTGTTATCATGAATGTATGAATGTATACCTAAAATGTACCAGTAAATGTTTGCTAGATAAAAGAATGTAAGGTGCTTTTATAAACATTTCATTGAGTTTAACAGTGTTATGCTGTTAGTATACATACACAGTGATGATTGTGCTGTTCAGTTTAACATGAAGCTAACAGTATTTGTCATCAGTAAAATTCTTTCTTTTGTCTTAGTTACTTTTCTCTCATTGCCAAGACAAGATACCCAATACTTAAAGTTAAAAGGGAAAGCATTTAGCTCACAGTCTGTAGAGGTTTCTGTCCATAATCAGCTGGGTCCAAGGCAGAATGGTAGAACAAAACTGCACAGGAGAAAGTTTGTTATGCCCATAAACAAGGTAGCAAAAGCGATAGGAAACTTTAACAGTGTCTCTGCCCCTTTTACCTTATTCCAACTACTTAGGACGGGTGGCACTCACGCCCTTAATCCTAGTGTTCTGGGCTTCACCCACCATGAATCAATCACATACTTTACATTCAGCCACCTTTGAAAAAGCATGAGGCTTTGCGGGAGGGCATCTAAACACTAACCTTAACACCTACAATGCTCATTAAATTTTCACTTTATGGTTGATGCTCTTCTATCTCTATTCACTATACTGGCTTATTAAAAATGATAAAAATAGTAGCAAATATATTTCATAAAATTCCATAATGTAAGTAGTGAAAAGAACTTGTACAAATAATTATGTTTGTGATGTGCAAAAGATTCTTTGAGTGTGATGTTATCTAACATATCCTGAAAAGAACAATTATATAAAATTATCTAAAATATATATAAAATTGTTTTTTTCCTGTAATCCACTTACTATGTTCAATAGCATATTGTATGTCAAATATTTTTATGTTACTATCAGTGGTTTTATATTATTTTTAAAGCACATTGATTTCTTTGATAAATTTAGTTAGGTAATTATTATATTTCTAGGTGTTAAATAATGCACCCTAGTTTACAATTTTTCATGTGAGACACTTGAATTGAAAAATTTAAAATTATTATCCATAGTTATTAAAACCAATATAGAAAAAAATAAAACCAATATAGAATGGAATGGTAGTACATTTTTGTAATTCCAAATGCCCCAAAGGCAAAGCAGGAGGATATTACCATCAAGTTAGAGGCCAGCCTGGGTAACTTAGTGAGACCCTATCTCAAAAAGTAAGTAAATAAAAAGAGCTGGCCATGTAACAGAGTGTCAGAATATTTGCCTACCATACACAAGGCTCTGTGTTCAATCACATTGTTAACAACAAATAAGACTCTCACTGAAATTTTTGAAAAAATAGTTTCAATATTAAATATAATGACATGCTATTGGAAAAATTCTATCTAAAAGAAAATACCAGCTAAGGTATAGTAACACATGCCTGTAATACCAGCTCCTCCGGAGGCTGAGGCAGGAGGATGGCAAGTTTGAGTCCAACCTGGATAATTTAGTAAGACTTTGTCTCGGAGTTAAATAAAAGGAGTGAGGCTATAGCGCAGTGCTAGAGCACTTACCTAGCATAAGTAGGGTCTTGGGTTCAATCCCTAGCACCAGGGAAATGCAAAAAGCATTATTCAAAGACAATGTGGAAGATCAGTTTTTATCATGTATTTATTTAGAACATATTTCATCTTTCAGGACAAAACCCATTGATGTGAAGTATATGAATCATTATTTAGCATTTGTGTTGGATATATGAATGAGAAATCTTCAATAACTTCTAAATTATCCCTGAATACTTACAAGTAAAAATGCTCTTTGTGTATGAGAAAAAACATATACATACACATAAGTGAATTCACTCTTTACATTTTTTTGCCATGGACATGTGTTATTTACTCAAAACAGATACAGATGTGAATAAATAATAGAGACAGTTGTGAGTGAAGAATTATCATTACCCAAAAGAAGTTTGACCTTTGCCCTTGCCTACTAGAATTGTATCTCTATGCTCTTGTAATGTTTTGCTGAATAAGAGTGTCATTTCTAGGGTCTGTGGCCATGGAGCCATCTAACAATGTGAGCTATGATGGAAGTTTTGGGCTGTACCATATTAATTCCAATCTCAGAGAAAAAAGATATTCTTCTGGGAGGAGCTGTAGACTAAAGATCAGCAATACAACCAGTAGATAAAGACTAATAAAAATGATACACCAAAAGCGGGGGTAAGTATGTTCACACACTGTGAAAAGGGAAGAGACCGACAGATCCTGGGGAGCAATGGGGTGAACCAGAGTGGCTCAGCTGCAGGTAGATCCCAGCCAGGGCTCTGCCATGACCCCAGAGGCTCTGGCACTCTGCCCCAAGCCAGAGACCTGCCCAGAAAAGAGCTTCACAGGCACACAAGCTTCAGCCAGAGGCTCACACATAGCATCCGTAAGAGCACACAGATCGATCCTGGGGAGCAGCAGTGTAGAACAGAGCAGTGTGGCTGCAGGCAGATCCCAACCAGGCCTCTACCCAACCCTAGAAGCTCTGGCACACTGGCCACAGCCAAAGGCCCACCTTGAAAACAGCCATTGAGGTGCACAAGCAACAGTCAAAGGCTCACCCTGATACCATTGATAAGTGCACAGGGATCCTAGACAGAGGCTTGCTCAGACAACAGAAACTGAGGTGTACAACCCTCAGGCAAAGGCCTTCCAAGAAAACAGGTACATAGGAGCACCCACCAGAGGCAAACCTAGATACCACACCAAGTGTGCCGCAGACCCAGCCACAAGCCTGCCTGGAAAACAGGACAGCACAGTGATCCAGAAGGCAACTATTCTGAACCCAGGAATTGGTATACTGATGAGAAACAGAGAAAAGGCTGCTCAGTGGCTTACCAAGAATTGATGACCACTGGGTGAGCAAAAAGTTGCCTCAACAAAGGCATAGCAGGCTGCACCCATTGAAATGAAAAGACATGTAAACAGTCTCAAAACAGACTTCCAGATCACCTAAGGCAACTTCAAAGGGAAATGAGATAGAACAGTCTGATACTCAATCAGCTGGACTCCCTGAACTGGCAACAATAGAGGATATGGAAACAAAGAAGTCAGAAATAATTTCTCAGGTAACAACAGAGATTGTGCACATAGTGCAAGTCATTATTACTAAATCTAGAACAGACACATATAAAAAAAATAGAGGAGCTGAAAAACATGATGGAATCCCAACATAGGAAACAAATGCAATCCATAAAACAGATGAAAACAGATTTCCAGGAGATTAAAAACTCCATTGAAAGTTTACACAGCAGAATAGCCAATGCAAGGACAGAATTTCAGATATAAAAGATAGGATTGCAATTAGTGACCAGGAAAAGAAAAATTTCTTAAAAATACCAAGGGGCCATGAGAAATCAATCCAGCAGCTGCTAGCTGATGCAAAGAAGAATAACATAAGACTGATCAGAGTCAGTGAAGAAACAGGAAAGTGCAGATGACATTAAAAAAAAAAAAACGTGTTCACAGATGTAATGGCAGAAAACTTCCCAAGTAGGGGAAATGAACTTGACATACAGATAAATGAGGCATATAGCACAAACTAGCCATGGTAAAAAAAAAAAAATCAACACATAGACATATAATAGTTAAGATTCCAGAAACCCAACAGAAGAACAAAATTCTACAAGCACTTAGAGAAAAGAAACAAATCACATATAAAGAAAAGCCTATCAGAATCACAGCAAACTTCTCAACACAAACCCACAAGGCAAGAAGAGCGTCAACTGAAGTATTTCAAGCCCTAAAAACAAAAACAAAACAAAACATAAAACAAAAAACCCTCCAACCTCCAACCTCCAATCCAGATTGATGTACCCTGAAAAACTAGCTTTCAAACTGATGAAGAAATAGGATACTTTCATGACAAAAAGCAACCAAGGAACTTTATGAAAACCAAGACAACATTCCACAGACATTTAAACACATCCTAGGAAAAGACAAGGAGGAGATCACAACCCCAGGAAGCCTAGCAGAATGAATCTATCATGCATGACAAGAAATTAAATGCAAAGTAAGAGAATAAAAAAAAAGGTCATGACATATCAATTATAAGCATCAATGTTAATGGTCTCAATTCACCAATCAAAAGAAACAGACTGGCAAAATGGGTCAAGAACAAGATCCAACAATAGGCTGTATACATGAAATACACTTAATTAAAAAAGAAACTCATAGGCTGAAAGGGCATAAAACAATACTAAAGGGTAGAAAACAATACTTCATGTGACAGGAACCTGAAAAAAAAAACAGTAGTAGCTACCCTCTTTGCAGATCAAGTGGATTTCAAAAAGAGACAAAGAAAGACACTACATCCTTGTAAAGGGAACAGTCCCAAGAAGAAGAGATGATGATCATAAATATATATACAACAAACACTAGTGCACTCCACTATATAAAACAAACACTAACAGATATGAAAACTCAAGCATTATTACAATAGTAACAGAGGACTCAATACCCCAATACTCCACTGTTACAAATAGATAGATCAACTAGACAGAAAATAAACAATGAAATACTAGAATTCAATCAAACTCTTGAACAAATGATTGAAACATGTTTACAGAGTGTGACACCTCAAAAATCAGAATACACATTCTTTTTAGCTGTACATGTGTCGTTTTCCAAAGTAGACCACATACTTGCTCATAGAACATGTTTAAGTAAGTACAAAGGAATTGAAGTTATCCCCTGTATTTTATCAGACCATAGTGTGATAATATTGGAGATGAATAGCAAAAGAAACCAGAAGAATTTCATAAACACATGGAAATTGAACACATTTCTGAATAACCAATAGGTCACAGAGGAAATTAAAGAAGAAATCAGAGAGTTTCTGCAATTAAATGACAATGTCAACATATCAGAATCTATGGGACACAGTGAAAGCCGTCTTATGACAGAAATTCATAGCAGTGAATACTCATATTAGAAAAAACAAGGTGAGCTCAAATAAACAACCTGTTGTTGAACCTCAAGCTTCTAGAAAAATGAGAGCAGCACAAACCCAAAACTCATAAAAATTAGAGCAGAAATCCATGCAATGGAGACTAAGAGAACAATAACCCCCCAAAAAAATCAATGAAGCAAATAGTTGGTTCTTCAAAAGAATAAACAAAATTGACAAACCCGGGCCAGGGATTTAGCTCAGCAGTTCTGCCGCCTGCCTTGCAAGCACAAGGACCCGAGTTTGATCCCCGGTACCCAAAATAAATAAATAAATAAAAATTGACAAACCTTTAGCCAACCTTATCAAAAAAAGGAAAGAAAAGGCCCAAAATCCATGCAATTAGGAATGAAAGGGTGAAATTGCAACAGACCCAGCAGAAATCCATATGATCATCAATACCTACTTCAAGCACCTAAACCCCAATAATATGGAATATACAGAAGAAATGGACAGATTCATAGATATGTATGAATTACCAAACATGACCTAAATATTCTAAACAACTCAATATCAATCAATGCAATTGAAAATGTAATTAAAACTTACCAATTAAGAAAAACTGGGGTCCTGTTGGCTTCACTGCTAAATTCTTCAAGACATTTAGAGAGGAACTACTGTTTAACTGCTTCAATAAAATTTAAAGGAAACAATACTCCCAAATTCATTACTGAAAGCAAGCATCACCTTGATCCCCCAAACAGAGAAAGACCAAACTGAAAAAGAACTATAGGCAAATCTCACTAATGGACATAGATGCAAAAATCTTCAATAAGATACTGGCAAACAAAGTACAGAGGATCATTAAGAAGATCATACACCTTGACCAAATAAGATTTATTCCAGGAATGCATAGATGGTCTAACCAACATAAATCAATAAATGTAATATACTATATTAACAGAGTCAAGGACAAAAACCATATGATATCTCAATAGATAAAGAAAAAGTTTGACAAAATTCAACACCCATTCATGATTAAAATATCAACCTGCAGAAAATTGGAATAGATGGTCTTTATCTCAATCTGATAAAGGCTATTTATGAAAAACCAATAGCCAGCGTCATATTAAATGGTCAAAAACTGAATATCTCCAAGCTAAATTCAGGAACAAGTCAAGGATGTCAACTATCACCACTCTTGTTTGATATAGTTCTGGAAACATTAGCTACTGCAATTAGACAAAAGAAACAAATGAAAGGAGGACCAGGGATTTAGCTAAGTGGTTCTGCTGCCTGCCTTGAAAGTGCAAAGATGCAAGTTCAATCCCTGGTATCCCCACTCCCCCAAAAAGAAAAGATATGAAAGGAATAAAAATAGGAAAGGAGGAAGTGAAACTGTCATTATTTGCTGATGATATGATACTCTACATATAAAACCCCCAAAACACCATCAAAAGACTTTTAGATTAATTAACAGATTCAGTATTGTAGCTGGATACAAGGTCAACACTCAATAATCAATAGCCTTCTTGTACACAAATAACAGACTCACTGAAAGCGAAATTAGAGAAACAATCCCTTATACAATAACATCCATAAAATGAAATATCTAGGCATCAATCTAACAAAAGAAGCAAAAGACCGCTACATTGAGAACCACAACACTCTGGAAAAAAAATGATCAAAGAAGATATAAGAAAATGGAAAGACATCCCCTGTTCCTGGGTAGGAATAACCAACATAGTGATAATAGCCATACTTCCAAAACTGCTATACAGAGTCAATGCAATCCCAATTGAAATCCCAACAGAATATTTCACAGAACTAGAGAAAACAATCCAAGAATTCATTTGTAACTAGAAGAAACCTATAATAGCAAAAGCCATTCTAGGCAGCAGAGACATGGCAGGGGGCATCGCAATCCCCAACCTGAAACAATACTACAAAGCCACTGTGATAAAAACAGCATGGTACTGGCAAGAAAAGACCCAAGGATCAGTGGAATAGATTTGAAGATGCAGAAACAAATCCACACATTTCAGCTACCTCATCTTTAACATAAAATACCATCATCCTCACTGGAGGAGAGATAGCCTTTTTAATAAATGGTATTGGAAAAACTGGATTTCAACTTATCCAAGATTAAAAGTAAACCCTTATCTTTCACCATGTACTAAACTAAAATTGAAGTGGATTAAACAGCTAAATATTAAAACAGAAGCACTAAACTTGCTGGAAGATTAGTTGTGTAGAACTCTCAAAGACATTGGCATAGGAAAAGCCTTTACAAACAAATCCTCAGTAGCACAGGAACTAGCATAAAGAATCAACAATGGGGATCCAATCTTATTAAAAATCTTCTGCACTTCAAGAGAAACTACCAACAGAACAAAGAGACAACATATAAGGTGGGGAATTCTTTTTTACCAGCTGTTCTTCAGACAAAGATCTACTATCCAGAATATATAAAGAACTTAAAAAAATCAGACCTCTCAAAATTTAAAGACCCAATCCAAAAACGGGCATCTGAAATGAACAGACATTTCCCAGACAAAGGAGAAATAAACATATGAAAAAAATGTTTAACATCACTTGTTATTTGAGAGATACAGATGAAAACAGCACTGAGATTTCACCTCACCCCAGAAAGAATGGCTAATATTATAAAATCAACCAATAACAAATTCTGGTAGGGTTGTGGGGAGGAAGGAACCCTTCTTCATTGTTGGTGGGAGTGCACACTGGTGCAAACACTGTGGAAATCAATATGGAGATACCTCAAACAACCGGGATTACAAATCCCATTTGACCTAGGTATTTATCTGCTGAGTATCTTCCCAAAAGAATTAGAAGAATCACTCCAAAGTGATATGTGCACACCTATGTTTATAGAGGCACAGCTTGTAATAGCTAAAACTTGGAAACAGCCCATTTGCCTATCAACTGGAGACTGGATAAAGATGTGTGTGTGTGTGTGCGCACGCGCACGTGCATGCACATGCACTTATTGAGCTTATTGGTACTTTTAAAGTGTACAGTACAATTACATTTCATCATTGGGATCTTGCACCTTTACATGACAGATCTTGGTTTTCATTTTTTTCCATACCCCTGCCCTCACTCCACTCTCTCCTAATTACAAAGCCTTTTCTTCCCATTTTTTCCTCTTTTTGTATTTTTTCTTTTCCCTTATTTCGTTTCCCCTATCCTTCCCATTGTATGTTTTTTAATAAACTGGAGTACAACTCAGCCACAAAGAATGAGAAACTAGACACATTTATAGCTAAGTGGATGCACAATGAGGTCATACTCATGTGAAATAAGTAGGAAGCACGTGTAAATACCTAATAATATCTCTAGCATGAAAAACTAAAAGTGTTAACAAGGATAAAAATGTGTAACTGACATTATGAAATAGGAAGAAAATGTCTAAAGGAGTAAGAGAACTGGGAGGGGTTGGGGAAAGAAAGAAGAGAAAAAAATATGAGAAATGGAAAAACATGGAAACGAAATCTTTGTAAATAGGAAGGATTGATGGGGCAAAGTGAGGGCAGGGGAATGGGACAAAAATAAGAACCAAAATACATCCTGTAAAGGTAGAAGATCCTAGTGATGAATGTAATTGTATTGTATACCTAAAATGTACCAATAAATTTAAATGAAAAAAACCCAAAAGAACAATAACAACAATAACAAAACAAAAATCCTTGGTAAGATACTGGCAAAGAGATCACAGAAGATCATAAAAAATATCATATATCCTGACCAAGTGGGAATCATCCCAGGGATGCAGGGATGCTCCAACATATGCAAATCAATAAATGTAATACACTGTATTAATAGAGCCAAAGAGAAAACCATATGATCATCTCAATAGATGTAGAAAACGTATCCCACAAAATCCAACAAGCTTTTATGATAAAAACCCTACAATAAATTGGAGTAGACAGTCTTTACCTCAGTCTGATAAAAGCCATCTATGAAAAACCAACAGCCAATATCATACTAAGTGGTCAAAAACTGAAATCCTTCACACTAAAATCAGTAACAACACAAGGATGTCCACTATCACCACTCCTGTTCAATGTAGTTTTGTAAACATTAGTCACAGCAGTTGTCTAATAGTGAAAGACATAAAAGGAATAAAGATAGGAAATGAAGAGGTCAAATTGTCCTTACTTATAGTTGACATGATACTCTTATAGAAGACCCCAAGAACTCCACCAAAGTCTTCTAGACTTAATAGTCAAGATCAGTAGTGGGCCGGGGATTTAGTTCAGTGGTTCAGTGGCCTGCCTTGCAAGTGCAAGGACCCGAGTTCAATCGCCGGTACCCAAAAAAAAAAAAAAAAAAAAAGATCAGTAGAGATAGCAGATCAACACACAGAAATCAATAGCTTTCTTGAATACAGTTAACAGACTCAATGAGAGAGAAATAGGCAAACGATTCATTTCACAGTAGCATCCAAAAAATTGAAATACTTAGGAATCAACCTAACCAAAAAAAAAAAAAAAAAAAAAAAAAAAAAAAAAAAAAAACTTATAGCACTCTGAAAAAGAGATTGAAGAGGATAACAGAAAATGGAAAGACAGCCCTTACTTTTGGCTAGGAAAAATCAACATGGAGAAAATGGCCATACTTCCAAAACTGCTATACAGATTCAATGCAATCCCAATTGGAATCCTGGCACCATACTTCACAGACATTGAGAAAAAAAAATCCAAAAATTCATTTGGAACAAGAAGAGACCTAGAATAGCAAAAACAATTATAGGCAATAAAGACAAGGTAGGAGGTAACACATTCCCCAACTTGAAATTATACTACAAAGCTACTGTGATAAAACCAACATGGTAATGACAAAGAAACAGACCTGAGGATTAGTGGAACAGATTAGAAGACACTCAACTGCCTCACCTTTGACAAAGGAGTCAAATACCTTCACTGGAGGAAAGATAGCCTCTTTAATAAATGGTGCTGGAAAAACTGAGTTTCAACTTGCCAAAGATTAAAACTAGACCTATATTTCTTACCATGCACTATATTACAATGAAAATGGATTAAAGATCTAAATATTAAAACAGAAAGACTGAACCTGATGGAAGAGAGGTTAAGTAGAACTCTTGAAGAAACATGTGTAGGAAAAGATTTTATTAACAAGGACTCAGTTGCCTGTGAACTAGTACAAACAATCAACAAGTAAGTTCTTATTGATTAAAAATCTTCTGCAAAGCAAGAGAAACCACCGACAGTGTGAAGAGACAACCTACAATGTGGGAGAAAAATTTTTACCAGATGTTCTTCAGACAAAGGTCTACTATCTAGAATATATAAAGAACTTAAAAAATCAGACTGTCTAAATTTAAAGACCCAATCTAAAAATGGGCATCTGAAATAAACAGACATTTCTCAGAAAAAGAAGTAAAAGCAGCAAATAATCATATGAAAAAATATTAAAAATCACTGGTCATTTGAGAGATGCAAATGAAAACAAAACTGAGGTTCCACCTCCCCCCAGAAGGAATGGCTGCTATTGTAAAATCAACCAATAACAAATATTGGTGGGGGTGTGGGGAAAGAGGAACCCTGCTCCACTGCTGGTGGGAGTGCAGACTGGTGCAACCACTGTGGAAATCAGTATGGAGATACCTCAAAAAACTAGCATTGGAGGTCTCATTTGACCCAGCTATTCCCCTGCTAGGTATCTTTCCCAAAGAATTAAAGGAATCATACCACAGTGGTATATAGCACCCATGTTCATAGCAGCACAATTCACAATAGCTAAAACTTGGAAGCAGCTCAATTGCCCAACAACTGGAGACTGGAGAAAGAAAATACGTTTTTTTTTTTTTTAATAGAGTACTACTCAGCCATAAAAAGATACATTAGAGACATTCATAGCTAAATTGATGCACATTGAGGTGATACTCAAGTGAAATAACTAGGACACAACTGTGTAAATATAGAATAGTTTCTCTAGTGTGAGAAACTGAAAGTGTAAATAAAGTCTAAAAGCTGTAATAGATAATGTGTAATAGGAAGAAAAGGTAGAAAGGGGAAGGAATAGAGGTAGGGGATAGGAAAGAAGGGAATGGAAATAATATGAGAAAATGAAAAAAATGGTAAAAAAGTCTTTGTAAATAGGGAGGGATTGAGGGGTTGAAGAGAGGGCAGGGGAATGGGGTAAAAAAATAAGAACCAAGATAGATTATGTAAAGGTTCAAATTTCCAATGATGACTATTATATTGTATACCTAAAATGTGCCAATAAAATTACTTAAAAAAGAGAAGAAAAGGGAAGAGACAATGCTATCCATGACACCATGAGACAGTGACTTGAGGCCCCACATTTGAACATCTCCTAGACTTGGCCTTATTCATTTGTAAGACATAACTTTAGGTATCAATCTGTCTCAATTAAGAGATACTCAGGGCCGGGGATTTCTCTCAATGATGCTGCTGCCTGCTTTGCAAGCGCTAGGACCCAAGTTTGATCCCTGGTACCAAAAGGAAGAGCTACTCAGATAACTATTAAAACATATTTCTGGGAATATCTGTGATGATATTTTCAGAAGAAATTGGCATTTCAGTCAGTGATCTGAGTAAAAAGAATCCATGCTCCCCCGTGCAATTGGGTAATGGAATGGATAGAACAAACAGGCAGAAAATCTCCCTTTCTTCCTCTCCCTCTCTCCTCCACCCCTGGAAGCTGGTGCACTCATCCATCTTCAACTGCACTTGGACATCAAAATCTAACTTTTTCAGCTTTTGCCTCTGAGACTTGAACCTTCAGCCTTCCTCAGTTCTCAAGTCTTCAGCCTCAGAATGAAACTTACACCAACGGCTTCCCTGGCTCTCAGGCCTTTGGACCTGTGCTAAATCACTACTGCCTCCTTTGATTCTTCAGGATGCAGATGAAATTTTGTTGGACTTCAAGATGCTTCAAAATAATGTAAGTCAATTACCCTAATACACAACTGTTTATACCTATCTGCTTCTCTGGTGAACTCTAACTAATGCAGATATTGGTAGTAAGTATATTGCAGTTCTAGAAGAGAAGAATTGTAAGGATGAATTCCCTGAGTTGGTTTTGGAGTTTCTGGTGTTTTTTCCCCTATCTGATTAGATTGAAAAAATGCTAAGGACTCTTAGCATTTTCAATAATACAAAGACGATTTTGAAGATTTTGGAAAACTTTCCCCTTTGTTTAGGTAGAATCCTGCAATAATATCAGTAAAAGTCAAATCAAATGAAATTGTTATAAATTAAAATTTAGAGACAAATCAGAGGTTTATGTGAGGCTCATATAAAGCAATCAAAATACTAAACAAAAAGGAATCTGTAACATGAAGTTTAAATCTGTGAGTAAAACATTGATACCACTTAAACTTCCTTAGGTGACAACTGTATCCTACATTTTGGTAAGGACTCCACTGTGTACAGATACAAGCATTTGTCAACACTCAGCAAATATACACTTGAATTATGGATTGTAGGTTATATGTTTTATATACACAAAACTACTGACCTATAACTGAAGATGTTGCAAAAGATAAATTTAGGCAACATTAACATTTTAAAGCGGTTGTATAAGCAGGTAGGGACACATAAGTTAGGTGGTGCAAAACCAGAAGTGCTTTAGGCTCCACAGAAGAGATTAAAGGAGCAAACACTTGCAAGATATTCATGGATTAAAGGTGGAAAACACTTGATCTGATTAAAGTTGAACAGTAGCTTAAGCCCCTAGTTGAGTTTTACTTGTGGGTTTCTCATTGGCAAATTCTTGGACTAGAGGTTTGTCTGGGTTATTTTTAATTGGGTTTGCTTAAATTTTGTTTTCCTAGGATCGGAGCATTCAAGTTGTGTTGGATTTTGGTTTGTTTATGTGACAACTTTAGAGCACTAGATACAGACATCTCCAGCTAAAGTCTTCCCAATTATTTTTATATGTGTGTTTTGAAGTAGTTAGAAGCATGCTAGTAACTGCAATTAATTCTGAAGTGCTTCTATACATAAAATGAATTAATGGGATTAGGGACGGATCAACAGATATACGCTATAGAATAAGTTCAAAATGTTTATAGTAGGGTCTTGTGGTAAATGTAAAGGTGCTCATTTAAAATTTTTTCAACTAAGTTAGGCATGGTGGCACACATCTATAATCCCAGCTTCTTGGGGAGCTGAGGCAGGAGAATCTCGTTTGAGGGCAACCTGGATAAATTACCAATACCCATCTCAACATTAACAGCAACAAATTCTTTCAACTTTCCTTTATGTTTGAAAACTTCTATAGTAAAATGTTGAAAAAATTAAAAACAAAAATATTTTATTCATATTTCAGGTAAAATTATATTACTGGAAAAAATTGCAGGAGAATTATTTTAGTTTGGCATTAATTTATCTCTATTTATGCCAGAGTTAGAATAGTTAGTTAAAATACTCTTGAGGTATGATGAGGTGGTTTGAAATATTTGTGAAACAATGCTCTGAAAAAGGAGTACAATGAATAAATATAGCTCATTATCTAATTTGAGTAAGACTGCATGTTAAAAATCTAGATCTTTGATCTGGACATGGTGGCATATGCCTGTAATCCCAGCATTTGGGAGGCTGAGTCAGGAGGACTGCTATGAGATCAAGCCCAGCCTGAACTACACAGTGAGGCCCTGTTTCAGAAAAAAAAAAAAATCTGGATCTTTGAGAAATATCAGTGCTTTTAACTCATATTAATCTGAACAAGTTTAATTTTCACCTGTAATGAATGCAGCATGTTAATAAATAACCCTTCCAGATACACTACAATAAATGCAATAAGTATCGAATGGATAAACAACAGTTAATTTTTTAAAAAACTAAGTGAATTTAAAAAATAAAGAAAATGTAAAGGCTACATATGGAGTAGGAATTTTTTTGGACAGAGTTTCATTGTGTAGCCTAGGCTGGCTTTAAACATACTACATAAGCTAGGCTTAACCTCAGACTTGATATCTCCCTGACTTAGCCTCACATGTGCTGGGTATAAACAGGCACTGCTACACCTGTCGAGCTGTGCTGAATATGCAAATTCATTTCAGTATGTAACACAAAGTTGTAGGAGTGGATATAATTGTTCACACTAGCATATAGAATTGTTTGAAAACTTTAATTTTAAAAACTCATTTTACAACAGTGTTTTTTCCATTTTGGGGGGTATGAACTTTAAATTATCAAATCATAATTCTGCATAAACATGTTTATTGGATTACATTGGACCGAACACAAATTTGTAAAGATACATATTGTATGTTGATGGTAATGCAGAACAACTTTCCCTTTCATTCCTTTTTTCTGTCACATTTTTTCCTTTAAAAATTAATCCAAATCAAAATTCTTCATCCTCCCCTTATTCAGTTGTGCTGTTAATTATCTAGAGTGACTTGTAATAGCATTTTACAGTAGAATGTGGAAATTTAGTGACATCTTGTGGCCAAGAGTTATTTGAGCATTCTGCCTATGGCACTGGACTGGATTTATAGTCATGGACTTCCAACTAGAAAACATGTTCTTCTGAGTGTGCCTGATGACTTTCTGGAAAATTAAGCTCATCTAAAGGATTTTAAAGTAATCAGTGTCTTGATCTTCAGTCTCCTTTGCACTTTCCTTCAGTAGACTATGTCTGCTATCTAGGAGCTTTATCATTTCTATTATTGTCTTCTTTCCATAATAGTATTCTCCCACTTTACAAAAGGACTCATCCCTGAGTCTTACCATAGAGTGCATTGCTCTGAAAACAAACAAACAAAACAAACAAACAAAAAACCCTCTGAGTGCTAAACAAAGAGAAAGAGAATTTTGATTTATTAATGTCTGTATTAGTCATCTTTGTATCACGATAATGGAACACCTCATGCAGTCTATTTATAAAGTAAAGGGGTTTATTTTCGTTTATGGTTTTGATGCTTTGAATCCAACAGTGGGCAGCCCCGTTGAGTTAGGTCTCTGGAGGGGGAAGCAGTAGATCAGGATGGGAGTGTCTGTAGAAGTGAGTGCTCAAATCCTGAGCCAGGCTGGGGTGGGGGGAGAGAAGCGAGAGGGAATCCCCTAGTCCCTTGTCTGTGCACACCCAGAAGAACTTCCCACTTGGCACCACATCTTTTCCAGAGGGCCACTCTGCATACCAAGCTTTTAACATATGGACCTTGGGGAGATACTACCATATTCAAACCATGGCAGTATTTGTGTATAGTGATTACTCAAAAAACATTCTGAAAGTCAGGTGGTTGCCAAACTTTCTTTTTTGAAAAATTAATTTTATTGGTACATTTTAGGTATATAATCTGACATTCATCATTGGAAATTTGTTCCTTTACATAAGGTTCTTATTTTTTCCCTATGCCCCTGCTGACCTTTCTATCCCTCCACTCCTCCCTATTTACAAAGACTTTATTTCCATTTTTTCATTTTCCCATATTAATTCCATTCCCCAAACTTTCTTCAAAATTATTTGACTTTTGTAAAATTAAAGCAAAGTAGAATTCAGTTTTCACTTGATATCCTTTTCATTAAAAACAGTTTTTGGCCATAAGCTACTGATTTTTCTGTACATTAAAATATACAAACCTTAATCAGGAATTCTTTGAAATATAGATGATGCAATTTCATTCTTCTCTGTTATTGTATAGTTCCTCATGTTTACATCTTTAAAAAATTAGGACTACATGAGAGCCTTGATTTATAAGAATATTATTCCATCTCCTTAAATGATAGGCTTCTAGTAAAATGTGTGAACTAGTTATGCTGTCTTTTTTTTTTTTTTTTTTTTTTTTTTTTTTTTTTTTTT